TGTTATAGTCGTGCATTTTGTTTGTTCATTTATTTAACGCATGCATTTACTGATTATTTACTACGTGCTTGGCATTTGCAGGTCTCCAGGGACACACACAAAAAGAGACTTCGACTGTGCCTTCATGAGGTGTTTCTACGTGAGGTGCTGACATACAGTGAACTGTCCTCCAATTTAATGTTATAATATTTTGATCTCTCTTAGCATGATCACTTGCTTCTTGAACATTATCAAAAAATGTATAAAGCTGACATTCTTATGACCGTCCACTATTTGCTCTTCTCAATCATATGGGAGCAAAAGGTGAACATTTTGATATCAATGGTTTTTTACTTTTAAAATGAATAGTCTGGACTATGGGAGCTGTGTGTTTGTTTTCACATTTAGCTTCATTTATTATCAGTGACAGAGATGCTTTATTTTATGTCGATTTATTTTCTTCCTTTATTAAAAATTGCCTTCTTAATATGATCTCACCTTTGACAGGAAGTAAGAATAACAAACAGCAAAAGAATAAAAAGGGAGAGGGAGGGATGGGGAAGGGGAGGGGGGAGTATGGGGGGGGACCGGGGGGGGGGGGAAGAGAAAAAAATGTCTTATTTAAAATTCTTCTTTAACAACTATCCAGTGGTCTTTTACACCTAAAAATGAATGTCTATTTCTTTCTTCATGTAATGTTTCTTTAAGTATTTGAAAAATAGGAGGTCTCTGGTTTGAATAATGATATTTGGCATTCTATTAGTATATATATATATATATATATATATATATGGATACACACACACACACACATATATATATGAATGATAGAGAAAAAAGGTGAAAACAGAAAGCTCTAAAAATTAGAGTTAAACTAAAAATTATATAAAAATATACTAAAAATTAGAAGTTAAACTCTTGCCAATAAGTGACATACTTTTTTAAATGTACTTGGTTGATAAAAATGATAATCACTGGCCTACATAAGCTTTGTTTCAGCAACGTAAATGTAAAGGAAAGAAGTGAAGTATTTGTTATTGTTGTATTGGCTGCTGCTTACCACCGAGAGAAAAGATCCTTTCCCCACAGTAACAATGGCTTGCGTGTGGCCCACACACTTACCATTATTTAGTGGATAATTTTTCTACAATGAGTTAGACAATGTGTGTTTCAGAAAACAGCAAGGCCATTGTAGCTTGGTACTGGAACAAAAATATTGCATCCTGGAAGTCGTGGACTTCACAAGTAGCATTGCTCTGAATAGAATTTTGGCAAAGGTTCTTATTGAGAACTGTAACTTTGTTTGATACCTAATTTGGATAGAGTCAGAGAACCAGCCTAATTAATTACCTGCAAATGAAAGCCTATGAGATAACAGGAATTTAGCTTGGAGCAATGCACAGTAATGTAACATCCAGCAGTAGATGTAAAACAGGTATTTAATGATTGCCCAATGAGATGATAAATGGGGCTCAGGATGAACTTTGTACTAACTTGCTGGTAAACATGAGGGCTGAACATACTGTCCCCTTTTATGTAATGAATTAGCAGGAAGCAAAATCAAAATAGGACCTATAATTACTACAGGGAAAGGGAAAGCATCTATCATCCTAGATGCTCAAGTAAAATTCTACTGCTCTCTTTCAGGTGCTGGCTAAAACTAGTTTTACTTTGGGCCTACTAAAACAGAATTTTGGGAGATCTTGTTTTTAAATGAGGATCCCAGTAGATTTTTTAAGATCATGCAAGTTTGAAAAATACTGACCAGTAATACGTAGGTAATTAGTAGTTGATGAAGAGAGAAAAAAATCAAATGAATCACTAAGTGTGAAAATTAAGGGTGTTACTCCCAATTTTATTCATTAAACTAGATTTGGGTTCTCTAGATATAGTAAGGAAAGCACCAAATATCGGTAATTGATTGAGAGTTAGCTTCACTGTTGTCTCACAAGTGCTGCTACTCTGAAATCTTCAGCAGATAATGAGCCGTAGAAATGATACTGCTAGCTAACATTTATTAAACACTTGGCATGCACCTGAAACTCTTCCAGTAAATTTTACATGTTTTGGTTGTATAATCACATCTGTGAAGACAATAAATATCAGCCTATTATTTTGTTGTTGTTTGCTTTCATTATGAAGAGAATCTCTGGATTAGAATCGATACTGTGGGGGAATTCCACAACATTATCTTAGACCTTCAGTAAGTCCATGGATGGTGGCACAAGCAGAGGAAGGCAAATCCAAATTCATAATAAGTATCTATTCAGTGCATATGAATCTTTCCTTTCTTCATGATGGAAGTGTTCTAACAGGACCACTCCATCACCAAGTAGCTGGCAAATCTCCTCAAACAAGAGTATTATGTGAGCAGTTTAGGGTTTGCTGTTAATATAAATTGGGCAATCTGCAGTTTTGTGGTTAGGCAAGCCTCCGTGAGTGCAGTTCACGTTGTTGAGCCCACAAAGAACCTGTATCCCTGCCCGCATGGTATATGGTTCAGAATTCCAATGAGCAAGCCTGTATCGACCACAGGAGGTGGGTGATTAATTGATAGCCATATAGAGATGCACATTTATGGAGAACACAAGCATTCTCATTCTCTGGGTACATTCAAAAAGATGCCACTTATATCATCACTTCTCCCATCTTATTGTTATTAATTATTTAATCCTTCAATAAGAAAGGATGATAAATTACAACCTTATGTCATCCTTCTTTGTATATAAAAGAGAAAATGAAAAGTGCTTCTTTAAATTTTTCTCACTCACATGATCTCATTTATTCCTTCAACACATGTATTGAGTACCTACTGTGTCAGAAACTGCACTAGTTGCTGAAAGCACAACAAAAACTAAAACAAAATCACTTGCATACCTAGAGATAATATGTGGGTGGAATTAGGGAGATAATAAACATAACTAAAGTAAAATATATGATAGACCATTATGCTGAATTCTAAATAATAAAGCAGTAAAATGACAGAAGGCTAGGAACTACAAGATTGCAAAAAGGGAGCATGCTTAAATCAAAATAAGATGTAATCCTTCTGTGACTCTTAAGCAAAATTTGAAGGGAGAGAGTTAATTATGTGACTATCTGGAAAAATATCTTCACAGTCAGACAGAGGAAAGAACCAGTGCTCAAGTGCTCAGATCAAAGTGAGTAGGATTTAATGAGGTTAGAAGAGCAAGGGAGTGAGCAGCAAGAGATGTGGCTAGAAAGTATGAGGAGTGAGATGGGAATTCATCAGAAATGTAATCAAAACTGTGGCACGAGACCAGATTTTCAGATCACACTACCTACCTAGCACTTAAACTGAGTAAATTTTAAAGGACAACTATGAAAGCAGGCACACTGAAACCAAAGTGAAGAAGAGACCATTCCACAATTTTTGGCCCAAGTAATTAGAATGATGTAGTTGCTGTTTACAGAGATGATTGTGAAAGGGCAGATTTGGGTCGATGTTTGTGTCTGCTTTAAGAAGCCTCTTAGGCATCCAGCTGGAGATGCTGTACAGGCAGTTGTCTATCCAAGGTTGACCAGGAAGAAGACTCTTGGAGACAGACATTTGGATCTCAGCAGTTCTGGTTGGCATTAAAGACAGAAGACATAGGAGTCAGTGTAGACAGAAGGAAGAGTGTATCTAAGGACAGAGTTCTAGGGATCTCTAACATTTGTGTGTCAGGGAAAAGGAAATAATGTTTCAGCTCAGAAATGCCCTGCACATTTTTTATTCATTTTTCTGCAAATATTTTTATGTAACTACCAGATGCTAGACAGTGTTAGTAGTACATGGGATACATGAAGTAGACCAAACAGACAAATCTCCCTGGCCCACAGTTTACATCAGTGCAACATTCTCTTCCTACTCAAAAGTGTTTCAAACGTTCTCTGCATCCCACAAATCCTGCCCCCCTCTACCCTAGCCTCTCACAAGAAGTATACTGGACACCAACTTCACGAGCTATAGATGGAAGTTTTCGTCATCATTCCTTCGAAAACATTTCCATCCCTTCTCTTTCCTACCTGCATTGTATAATGAGAATAGTGCTTTTGGGGAGCATATCTTGGTCCTTTCAAATTGGGATAGATGCAGTGATATCTGCTATCACAGCATATATCACACCGTGTTATAACTTATGGCTTAATTACTTTTTCTAAGGAAAATATCTATTTCTAGTTTGTTCACTGTTCTATTCCCAGAATTTAATGCTTAGAATCTAGTCAGAGCATGTAAACCTTTGTGTGCAATGAATGAGTGACAGAGAAATCTTTGCAAGAGGCCTTTCCCAGTGTACTCTGGGTGCAGAGCCACCTCCAAGGCATGTGAAAGGAGTGCCTTCAAGCTTCCTAGTGGTGGCTGCATCAGGCTTCACTTCAGCACCATCAAATTCTGTCTTCAAGAATTCAGTTGGGGATTTACTTTTGCAGATGAGCTTCTGGCAGAGCTGTCTGGACATTCACTTTCAGCCTCTCCTGCCTGAGGAACTTTTCCCATGATTCTCATGCCTCTTGGAGTTTCAGGGCTGAACTCAAGTGATATTTTGTATTCACGGGAGCATGTCTGGAGCCAATTGGTGTAGATCTGATCTGCAAGTAGACCAGCTTCTTTGCAAGAATTCCATAGATGTAATTATATTGGTCTCTGTTCACTGAGGCAACACCAGGAATTGGCTTCCTGGCTATGGGAAAGTACTTAACCTAAGACCCAGATTTCATCTATTACATGAGGATATGTTAAAACTTGGCTCACATGGCTTTCCTGAAAATTAGCATGAATAATGAAACCAGTCTGTATAGTCCCAGAGTTCAGGGTTTGGTCAGAGGACGTGCTGGGCTTTCCAAGTACTCATGTCCATTATTAGTGCTCTGGGAATGTCAGGACTACTGAAGGGCAGTGAGACCTTCATGGTATCAGCACAGATACTAAACTCAGGGGTCAGTGTTTCCAACTCTCAATGCCAGCTGATAAGTTGCTGTTTATCTGACACTTATTACAGATACAGTAAGGCTTTTCAGCTGCCTGGGCTCTGTTTGGTTCTAATTTGGATGCTGTCATACTACAGGAGAAATTTAATGAGAAGGTATCTTATTTGTTTTTTCTAGGAGGAAGGAGCAAAATGGAGGATTAGAGTTTTTACTGGTAGAGTAATCATCATTCATGTTCACCCGGAGAGGAGGATTTTGATTTGTTTGCTTGTTTATTTATTCTTGGTGTAGTGTCCTTGTCTTCATTTTATATTCAGACGTGATTCCAAGTGGTTTTGCTTTTCTCCTTCTACCACAGTATGAAGTAATGTTTTCTAATTATTCTTGACATTTTGTAGATTACTTTTAATGATCAGTAGTACTACTATAGCCCAGCTGTTAACCAGCAGTTTTCAAAACCAATTTTTGGTTTTTTGGTAATTTTTGGGTTTTTGGTAATTTTTTTTCTAAAAATTTCTTTTCTGAGCTTTAACTTTCAAACTTTTCAATGTCTTTCATATTCCTTGCAATGTTTCTTTACTGATTTTGTTGAAGCAGAGAAGCAATTGTATTCCATAGTTAAAATGACTTACATGTAGTTGATTCTTAATATTTTATATTTTATCAAAAATTCATGAGGATATATTCTTGATATGGTTTATGTACTGCTCTATTTTATTTTTCTTTAGGGAAATTCCTAATTGGATATCTGATTAATTATTTTTATCTTTATTTATATCTCTTATCTATCCTCATTTTCACACATGGCTGCAACTGTCAAGCCAGAACCTATCTTTTACTTGTCCTTAAAGTATAACAACATTTAATTTTGTAGTATTTAATATGCACATTTTCTGATTTTAAGCTAAACATAAATTATTTTCCTAAGCAAGAAGAGTCACATCCTGAGTAGAGAAAACTTGATTAAAACTCACTAGTTTTCATTTCTTTCAATATGGAAAACATTAATTTGTGAATATGCACAGAAATGGGTTTTCATTTCAGCTTAATGTAGGCTTAATTATTCTTATAGTTTAGGCAATTTAGATCTAAAGGTGATCTTGATTAAATGATTGCATCAGCAAACATTCTTGGTGCTAAATAAGAATATAAGCATGTTCACTATCTCAGTCAGCTAAAAGAGTATTAGGGTTGAGAACTGAAATGTCAGGTATAAATATTGATTGTGCCAAAATTATGTAATAGAAAGTGTGCCATCCAATCTTGTCTATAGGAAAATAGTCTTACACATAGCCTATTGATAAAATGAGTTCAATTATATAACTTCATTGGCATGAAATATAAGAAATGGAAACAGTATCTGGTTTGCCAATTGCAATATACTTCTTTCTACATAATGTCAGACACCATGGCAATTACTAGGAAATATTCTTCCACTTCATCTACATCAATCACCACTACTGATATGTGCCTTGCTCATCTAGAGGTTAGGCTGTAGCAAGGCTAATGTGAGCATATATTATCCTGTAATATAAATGCCAAATTGTTATCTCAAAAAAAAAGCTAGTAAAATGCAAGAACGCCTTATCTACTGCCTAACCATGTAGCTAAGGTACTGCTTGGTACAACCTGGTGATGAAGAAGCTATATGGTTATTGTGAGACTGAGGAATGGAATGGGCGGGCAATTTCCTGGGAATGGTAATTCTAAAGGGCAGTAAAACATTCATGAATATGTAAAGAGAAGGGGGAAAAGTTATTTACTAGACTTCACTCAAGGCAGATGTGTTATGCACTGAACAGGAACAGTCCTGGAGTAAGAGGGTAGGCAACAAGTTACAGATGATTATGGTGCTATCTTCTATGGAAGTTAAACCCAGTCAATTTGTGGTGTTCTTACTGGTGCCATCTGAAGCAGAGTTAGGAGCAGTTACCCTCTTCCCTTCCTGCAAGCCAATCTCAACTTCTCCTCCAAATAGTGTTAACCTATATAGGTAATGCTATTTACAAGAGAAACCAGGTTAACAGTATTTCTTTTAAGTAATTTCCTCACAGTGTATATGTATATGGTTTAAATAATTCTTAATTTCTCACAAAACTAAGATATGTTTTAATGCCATTGAATTTATGAGGGGTTCATATTCTTATTGTTAACATTCCATAGTTATTATTTGGGGCTATAGAAAAGACCCATTTTTTTCCTAAATGTTCCATTGTTTGTTTGTTTGTTTAATTGATAGGCTATTCTAGATTGACAGCAGTTTTAGATTCCCAGCAAAGCAGAGCAGAAGATGCAGAGAGGTCCCATGTATCCCCGCCCCCACAGAAGCAGACTTCCCTACTACCAACATCCCAGACTGAAAACTTTTATTCCAAACTGGAATAAATTTCTTTTACCTTTCAAAAACACTGATCACCTAAGTATGTCAATAAAGATTTAAAAATTTTTTTGTTTTATTACTCTTTTGATTTAAAGTGTTTATTGATTGATTATAGCTTTTGTACTAATTTACTTACTCTAAGATTGATTTATTCCCATATATTTGGAAAAAGTATGTATTCACAGGTATAGAGAAATACATATTTTTCCATATATCCCCTTATTTATCTGTAATTATATTCAGCCCTTTACCCCTTTTCCCCTTAGATTTGAAATGCTCTAAGTTCACTGATTTTTATTTTGTGTGGAACTCAATGGGTGTGTGCACGCTTACACACACATACATGCCTATGCCCATGTGCCTTATGTGTTATTTTGGTAATCAGGTCTTTTCATCTGAAAACAGCCATGTATTTTAAAATGCCACGTGCTTTGAATTTTAAAAGAAAGATCTCCTGTGGCAAGGCAGGGGAGAGGGAAAAGAGGGGGAAATTGGGACAGTTATAATGGAACAACAATCACAAAAAAGAAAGAAATATCTCAGCGAATCTCAAGAACTGATACCTGATTTTGAAAGTTAGGCAATGGGATCGTGGTCTACACATTTATGGAAACCTGTTTTTTTTCACACCATTTTTTAAAGATTAATCCATGTTGTTACATGCAGCTTTAGCCCGTTTCTTTCAATGCTGCATTATTGCATTGAGTAAATAAAAGACTATATGTTTTTCCAGATTCATCATGATTAATATGTGTTGTTTCTATGTTTCACTTAGAAACAATGATGTCTTTCTATTTTTCATCTTAGAAACAATGATTTTTTAAAAATTTTTATTTATTTATCTTTAGAGGGGAAGGGAAGGAAAGAGAGAGAGAGAGAGAAATATCAATGTATGGTTGCCTCTCATGCATCCCCTGCTAGGAACTGGCCTGCAACCCAGGCATGGGCCCTGACTGGATATTGAACCACGATCCTTTGGTTTGCAGACCTGTGCTCAATCCACCGAGCTACACTAGCCAGGCCAATGATGTTTTTCTTATTCTTTGGTTTTGATATATGTACACATATAAAATAACTTCTCTAAGATATAACTCTAGAAATAAAATTATTGACTGCTAAGATATATTCATTTTCATCCTTACCAGATAATGCCAAACTTTTCAAAAATGGTTATATAAATTTATAATTTGTATTAGCTGTGTTGATTGTTTATGGATCAATACACTATTCTATACTGGGCATAAGACTTCATAATTTTTTATCTTTGAAGTCTACAATTATATTCATTTGTAATTTTAAAGTGAACTTCTCTGACCATGAGATTAAATTGCTCCATATATTTATTGACTTTTTGGATTTCCTCTTTTTGTCAAGATTCTGTTTCAGTCTTCTGTCAATTTTTCTATTGAGTCATCTGATATTTTCTGTTAAATCATAATTCTTTTATGGAGTTATTTTGATAATGTTAGTAATGTGTGCCCTCTCTCTTTTTCTTTGTCAGTTTTATTATGAACTTATCAATTTTTCTGACCTTTTCACAGAATCAGCTTTTGGGTTCAATTACAGTCTATATTATTTCTCACTTTTCAATTTCATTGATTTCTGCTCCTAATTCAATTTTTTCCTTTGCTCACTTTAGATTTATTTTGTCTGATATTGGAGCTCAGGTCATTGATTTGAGACCTCTCCATTTTTAAAGCATTTGTCGTTCTATTTGGATCTCTCCTTCCTGGGGGCACCCAGAAACTTATCTGAGATCTGGATAGTGGTTCCTTTATTAATTCAGCTCTCAAAGTCTTCGTGAAGGTGCTGAAAATCAGTCTGACCCACTCATTTAAAGTTCAGAGGTGAGCCTAGAAATTCATACACTGTGTTAAAGGGTAATTTATCCAAGCTCTCCCTCTTCAGTTTACCTGGCATTTTCAACTTCCCCGTGGTTCTTCTTGGCTCTCTAGGTAGAAATCTGGGGCTTTATCTACCTTATTCCCTTGTGTACTACCTGTGAGTACGCCTGCATCCAGGGCCAAGTGATATGAAGAGATAAGGAAATAAATTGGTTAACCTCACCACCGGTTTGGTGGCACTTGGCATTCTGGCTTTCTTGCCCAATCTACTTGTTATTATTTAATTTTCAATGTCCTCAAGTAGCTGCGCTATGCATTCTTTACAGGTGCTGTGCTGTGTTTAACTGGCCTTGAATTAATTGCATTAGGTTAATAGAACTTGTTCTATAGGTTGCTGAGTTTTCAAAATTTATTGAGACGTGCTTTTGAACTAAAATACAATAGATTTTTGTGAAAGTCTCTTCTGCAATTGTGAAGAATTTATCTGCTCTAATGTAATATCCACATACATTCTGTATATTTTAAATAAATCAAGATTTTTTGTGTGTAGTTCAAGTATGCTGCATGTCACTTCATCTATTAAATATTTAAGAAATTTATTGATTTATCTCAGTTTTCAACAGCAATTTTCAAATTCTCTTTGGATTTTAGCAAATATATCTAGATGAGAGAGAGAGGAAGACAGAATAAAATTTAGAGCTGTTTTTTCCAATAAATTATCTTGCAATAAATTCTTGCAATAAATTATCTTATTGCAACAGGGAGTGAATATACTATATGCATATAAAGCTACTCATATTAGTCTTAGTAAATATTAAACCCAGCTTGTTTCTCTAAACTGATTTTTCTTTTGAAATGTGAGTTTACATGTTAAAAGTTTGTTTTCTAAGTATACTTTACTAGAATCAACAAGTTGAGTTCTTGTGTAAACCTAAAAAACAGTGGACCTTGGAATCCTGAGAAGCTGGCAAAAACCAGAGGGTCAGTTCAAGGACCCCGACCATAAAGTTCCATATTGGGACTGGGAGGGCACAGCCTTCCCGTCTACAGCCCTTCCCCTGATCTCTTTGCTCTGATTTCCCTCTCCTCCCTCTTCATTAAAATCTCTGCCTGCACAAAAGTATTAAGTTTTAACCATGATTTAGTATATCCTAGATAATAATCAAAAGTGTGTATTCTGTAACAAATCAAAGTATATAATCAACACTGTGCTTTCATCTCAGGCAGATTTCTCATCGCAGCTGTGAGAAACTCTGATGCCAGCAATAAACCACAGGTGTCCAGGGAAGGGAGGAATGCTAATGCCAGCAGTAAAACTGCAGATGTCCAACTGAAGCAAACTGAAAGACAACATCGGAACAAAAGCGAGCAAACCGGAGCAGGAGCTGCACAACTCCCCTTCAGCCCCTCCCCTTCCTTCCACTTCTCTCTCTCAAGAGAAACAGCAGGTCCACCCTCCCTCAGGGAAGCTTGCCTCTCCTGAGTTCCCAACAACTCCTTGTAAGAATCACTGGCTGTTAAGATGGGTTTTTGAGGACCAGAGTCCCCCATCTTCTCGAGATCCCAGCACTTAAATAAACCACTGTCCTTCTCACCAGCACCTGTCTCATAAATTTGGCTTTCCTTGCAACAGGCAGCCAAACCTGGGTTCTATTTCAGCATGACTACAGCTAATCTTTCTATGCCTAATATTACTGTTTGTGGCTGCCTTTCTTTTTCCTGTGTTTTCTCCCTTTTTTTTTATTGGAAGTTTATTGATATATTTCTTTCCTATACCCTCACTTTCACTTATGAAGGGATAACACTATCCTGACAGAGTCCTAAGGGTGACAGAAAGTGAGGGTTAGCCATGTAGTATTTTAGTGTTTGGGGAGTTTGGTTTAAGATGTCTTTTTCAATATGGAACATATTGAAGATTAGACAAAGTGATATAATAGCTAGGGTTGTCACATAGAGAAAACTGAGGGTTTTGAAGTGAACGTTTACAAATAAACAGCCATTTATCCAGGCCAGAAATGCATTGTTCTGAGAATGGAGAAAATGCTATTATATGAGAGCCAGGTAAGTAGTTAATTGTTTAGATAAATAAATTTTCATAAAGTTCCTGAAGAAAACCTAAAGTTACTTGCAGCTTAATCTTAATGAGCAAAAATGCCCTGGTTTTAATAAAGCCAGGTTAATGCAGAAGGTAGAACACTAAAATCATGTTAATGTAAGTTAAGTGTTTATAGATGGTTTTCTTAATATTAACTATGGGTATATTTGAACTCTAGTTTTTATAGGTTTATTTCCCATTTAGATTTATTCTCATCCCTGATTTACTTATATTAGAGTCCATTTTATTTTTACTTTTTTGTGGATTTTTCACTTTTTCTGCATGCACTGGTTTTGGGGGTATTGGTGAGAGAAGGGATACCTCCATTCTTCTAGAAACTTAAGTTTTTGTAGAGCCTAAGTCCCAACTTCTCAGGTCAGTCCTACTTGATATCTGCCATTTGGTCCACCTATATTTTTTCCTCAGGCTTAATTTATTTAATAACCTGGTAGAATTAAGATAGCCTGGCTCCTGAGAATGAAAGCAATATCCAATGTCGTATATTAATCCCTACTTATTTTGAATTTAGTTTATGCTTTCTGAATACAAAAGTCTTGTTTTCCTAACTGTGGAAGGGCATAACAGCAGCTTTGGTTTAAACTTGAAAGCTGACATGGGTGGTTATAAATAGCCCCACAGAATACTCAGAATGACCATCTTCTCATGAAACAAATTTACATTAGAGCTGTGTAAATTTGGTTCTCAGACTAGAGAATCCATATCCAAAGATATCATTCTATTGTTTTCATCTCTGAACTCTCAAATCTCAAAAGAAGTTTTTGTCTTTTTGCCACATTTTGAGCAAACACTGCAATTCTTATTTAAAGGGCTTCTCTCTTCTTACAATGTCAGTGATCCAGATGTCCAGTTTAACTTTGAGTAACAACTAAAGAAATAATCTTTATTTGAAATATACATTTAGTAAAAATTCCTGGATTAGCCTCAAAAAGAGATTATTACCTATGTGGTTCCTTTTATAGACATTAATTTAAGATTGATCATTTAGTAGCTAAAATTTAATTTAAAAATATTGTAATTTTGTCCCCATATACAGAAATACATGAAAGGAAAATGCAAGTTATAACCCTATCATTTCTTAAACCTCCTTTGTCTTTTCTCTTACTTTTTGACATCTCCCAGTCTAAATCCTTTTTTGCCAAAACCATAAAACATTCTAGCAATTTATCCACCAGCTTATCCTCCTGTTTAACCACCAGTTTATCCTCCTGTTTCTTTCTCAGTGATCTATATTGACTCAAATAATTGCTTCTTGTGCTCTTTCCTTCTCTTCAGTCAAACGCTGCCCTTTCCTTCATATATGCTAATGAAAAAATAGACCCTAAAAATAGACATGACACAATAGGGCAGTGGGAGGATAACGCAGGGCTGACAGTTTCAGGCAGGAGACTGAACACCCCCACAGTAGGATCCTTGTCACGTTTTGTATACTCAACATCTATTTAAGAAGAGAGTCGATCTTCCCCTAAAGTTGTTTCCATGGTATTTTTTGAAGCCTCTAGTGAATTTAGATTTATTTCTAGTTGACTCATGTAAGTCCCACCCTCATCTTCAGTCCTTTCTTTTCTAATCATGGGGTTTAGGAGGAGTTCCTGCAATTCTGCCCACTTAATCTCTCAGTTTAATTTAGAATTATTCAGCAGCTGAGCCGGTCTCATCTTTCCCATTCTCGCAGGGCTTTCTAAACCTATTAGACTTGTTCATTATGCCCTTACTTATTTTTACAGGCATTTTTAACTACATGTTCTCTTCTTTTATTTCTGTGAAATTTGACAAGTAAGGGGTTGAATGTGGGTATCTAATCTCTATATTTAAAACCTATCTTCAATAAAATTTTATATCACTCACGAAATTGCTGCATATATATAAATAATAGAGAAGGAATGTGAAAAGCATGAGCAGTTCAACATATTTTGGAATTTAGGGTAGCTTTTCTCTTTTATGATTATAAATATTTATTGGTTCAAATAGATTTATGATCATTGATTTACATGAAGACAAGCAAAAATTCATAAAGCAGGCAATAAAGCAATATCTTCATTGTAGTTGCCACCCAGTAATAACCCCCTACATCCTTTGCTGTTTCACTGAGACTTAGAATATGTCTGTGGTCCACTTCAGGACACAGACATTTTTCAGGACCTGGAAGTCTGTCCTTGTGAGTAAGACTTAAAGCATGAACTAAGCATCATAAATAATGGTCACAGTTTTCTGGTCGTATTTATATTGGAGCTATATCTGAAAAACTTTGTTCACAGATAAACATTTGACCATTAGACTATCTATTAAGATACCCTCTTTATTAGAATGGGGGAGGGTGTTTGAATAATGCTGAACATTTGGATGTTCAGCATTATTCAAACATACAGAAAAAAAGGCCACAAAATAAAAAAACCTACATATGTTTGGAATAATGTAAAGAAAATACAGATATTTGACCAAACTCTCACCAATTTTTATTCAATTGTTTGACATTCTGTAGATATGGGCAAGGCTGGTGGGGCCCTAGCAGGGGTGAAGACTGGGACTCAAATCAAGGGAGCAGACCAGAAGGAAGGAAAAAATGACCAAACAGAAAAATATGAAGAAACAAGAATTCAAACAAATAAGGAGAGGCTTAGGAACCTCCAGGACATCTTTAAACGCTCCAACATCTGAATTATAGGTGTACCAGAAGGGGAAGAGGAACAGTCACGAGTGGAAACCTTATCTGAACAAATAATAAACTAGAACTTCCCCATTCTGGCAAAGGAAATAGACTTCCAGGAAATCCAGGAAGCTCAGAGAGCCCCAAAGAATTTGGACCCAAGAAGGAACACACCAAGGCCCATCATCATTATATTAGCCAAGATTAAAATGAAGGAGAGAATCCTAGATGCAGCAAGAAATAAGGGGACTGTCACCTACAAAGGACTTCCCATCACACTGCCAGCGGATTTCTCAACAGAGACCTTACAGGCAAGAAGGGGCTGGAAAGAAGTATTCCAAGTCATGAAAACCAAAGACCTACAACCAAGATTGCTCTATCCAGCAAAGCTTTCATTTAAAATGGAAGGACAGTTAAAGTGCTTCTCAGATAAGATCAAATTCAAGGAGTTCATCATCACCAAGCTCTTACTATATGAAATGTTAAAGGGACTTACCTAAGAAAAAGAAGATAAAAAAGATGAACAGTGAAAGGACAGCAAACTCACAGTTGTTAACAACCACACCTAAAACAAAAGCAAATTAAGAGGACAGCTAGATCATGAGCAGAACCATAGAAATGAAGATCACATGGAGGGTTAGCAACAGGGAAGTGGGAGAAGGAAAAGGGGGGAGAAAGTACAGAAAATAAGTAGCATAGATGGTAGGTAGAAAATAGATAGGGAGGAGGGCAAGAATAGTATGGGAAATATAGAATTTGAGAACTTGAGACACGTGGTCATAAACTAAAGGGGGGAATGGTGGGGGGGTGCAGGGTGGAGGGGAATGAAGGGGGAAATAGAACAACTGTAATGGCATAATCAATAAAATATATATATAATAAAATTTTAAAAAGAATAAATTTACAGTAAATACAATGTATTTGGAAGTATTCGGCACAAAGTTTGTGATCAGAAAAAAGTTAATATTTGTCAAATAGAAAATTTGATGTTTTTTAATCTAAATTAATTTTAGAAATATCTGTGTCTAAATTTAAGTTTCAAAAATAATTTCCTAAATGAACAATGTGAAATTAATATTTAAAATAGGCTTTTTGATGATTCCATAAAATATTAAGTATTTTTTAAAGCAAATTATGATTTCCCAGGACCAAATTTGTCCCAAGAGTCTTGGTGATGTTGGACAAGTGACTTAGAGCTTTTTCTTCAAAAATAAAATCAGGGCTTTAAAATGTGTAATATGCTTATCATATCATGAACTTTTAAAAAAGATTTTATTTATTTATTTTTAGAGAGAGGGGAAGAGAGAGAGAGAAAGAGAGGGAGAGAAATATCATTGTGTGGTTGCCTCTCACACACCCCTTATTGGGGGCCTAGCCTGAAACTCAGGAATCTGCCCTGACTGGGAATTGAACCAGTGACTTTTTTGTTTGCGGTCTGACATTCAATCCACTGAGCCGCACCAGACAGAGCTCTCATAAACTTTAAAAAAAAAAAGATTTAATATGAGAACCCAGTCTTAATTTGTTGGAAACCCACAACACAGACTTTAATTTCAAATCTAGTACTTTTCATGCCATTGGATGAAATCTGTGCCTTCCAAATGTTTATCATTAAATGCTTATCATTAAATCACCTGAAATCCATGGAACAAATTTAATTTTTGAGCCATAGCCCAGATCTACTGAATGAGAATCACCTGTGTAAAAGTTTGGGCACAAGCCCTTTACTTCCCATGCAATTCTAGTGATGAGCAAATCTTGGGAAATACAGGACTGGTGGAATTTCAAAACCCCTTCTAGCTTCCGTTTTCTAAATCTATTTTGAGAGAGACATGTTCATTTTAATGTACCACATTTGCTTAAACTGAGTAAAATTTCATGGCAATTAAATAATCAAGCTCCTTGCAAATCAAAAAAGTTCATGTGATATCAGGAATAGAAGCAAAATCCTAAATTAGTTTTGACTCTAATCACACATTTTGGTACAATAATCAAGGAAAAACAGGGTGATTTTTGTTTTGCCTTTGAAACTAACCCATATGTCCTTGAAAATAGGATTACAAATATAGCCAAACTTTTAGTGATAACTTGCTCTTTGAATATTTTTCTCCTAAAATGTGGAAAGTGAAATATATGCGGGACAATAAAAGCTGTATTTTTTACAGTTTACTAAGTATTGTTTCCAATTAAATTTCTTTGATTTGCTCATCATATCTAAACATTTTAAAATCATATTAGGTTAACACTAAAATTAATTGCTTTAAAAGTTTCAACTTCATCAATTTTAACTTTTTAATAGCTTATACCTTAAAACACAATGTATTCAATAATGTGTACAATTTAAAAGACTTTTGCTTGTACATTTTCACTAGCTAATTACTCTAAATTCTATTCTAGTTTAAAAATTATCACAGATTCTACATACCTTTCCTGATTAAAACAGATTCTCAATACTTTCACAGACTTTTTTTTACAAAGAGTTCTTATTTATTATTGGTAAATAGTAAGTGATGTTTCTTTGATAATGCTATAAGCATATACATAATTGAATACCTGCATGCAAAATAAAGGTCATATCTTGGAACCCATATTTAACTACTCTTGAAATTGTTATTAAAATCAAATACCTATACCAAAGACATTTTTTTCTCTTATTACTAAGAGGGTACAAGATTTGAATTATCATCAGAACAGAAACCTCTGCCTTCTGTAGCTTAATTGTCAGCACTAGGCCAGCACTTAATTGGCAATAAAGGCTTCTACATCAATCATTATACTAAATGGTCCAGGAAGTTCTTGGTTACTAAGATAAAACTGTAATCGATAAAAACCTTCATCCCTAGCTTTACGAACATACCCAGTCAATTCATTCAAGCAGCAGATTGTTCAGCCCTTCCCCTGTCAGCACAACAGCTTGCTCAGATGAATGAATAGCTGTCTTATCAGGACAACTCCAGAAACCTGCTTCCTGATCCAATAGTGCTTCACTTGCCAAAGTGGCTCATAGATTCCCTACTGGTGTGTCCACAAACCCAAAGTGTATATTACATCCAGGACTTTACCCAACAGGAAACAGATTCCTGTATTCAAAAATCTGCGTTAGTCCTGGCTGGTGTAGCTCAGTGGATTGAGCGCAGGCCTGAAAACCAAAGGATCGTGGTTCGATTCCCAGTCAGGGCACATGCCTGGGTTGCAGGCCAGTCCCCAGCAGGGGACCCATGAGAGGCAACCATACATTGATATTTCTCTCCCTCTCTCCTTCCCTTTCCCTCTAAAGATAAATAAATAAAATACAAAAATATATATATCATTAAAAAAAATCTGCGTTAGATCACTCCAACCCAGATCCTAAGTGTTCTGAGATACTCCTTAGGTTCTGTCAAAATGCTGTTTGTCTTTACTGAAGTAATATACTCAGTTTTGCTTGATGAACAGTTGTTGTGGGACTTTTTTTCTTCCTTCCTTTGTTCCTTCCTTCCTTGTCTTTAGGAAATCTGCACTTTATAGTCATGTTTTTATTTAAAAATACTGCATTTTTTATTTTTATCGATTATAATAATACTTTTACATTGATTATATGAATTGTTATCACAGGACAGATAATAATGTGTTGTATATTTTGTTCATTTTAGCATTTAGATAATATGTAAAACTATGATCAATTTATACTTTATTATTTAAAAAATAAAAATAGTCATTAATATTAATTATATTAATAATACAAAGAAAAACCTTTTGGACTATCTCAATAAAGGTACAAAAAACTGAAATAAATTTCAAACATTTATTTATCTTTAAATACCTACTGTATTTATACACATACAGTTCAAAATGATAGTCAACATCATGAGTAGCATTTAAAATAAGCAAAAGCAAAATCTACAAGGATGTCTGTAATATTACATTCTGGATAACCTTTGTTTTATTTTTTTGGAGATTTGTTGTACTTTTATAATTTTCTAATTGTTTAAAAGGCTTATTTGTTGTTATCCTTAAAGCTGAAGACACAGGATGATCTCAGTTCTATAAAAGTATGATTATATATATTTTAAATGGGTTGATGTGAGACAGTAGTTAATTTTAATTTCTCCATTATGCATTTTCTATTATCATGTCTTTGTAATGAAATAAATATGCATACCATCTTAGAAAATTATAAAAATTCAAAATACATTTTAAATTGTATAATAAAACCTAATATAATATTTTAATGAATAGTTGAAATTTTATGAAACATGAAAAAATATTCCTTTTATATAATAAATAGCAACATAGTTGTAAAATTTAATATAAATTAATTGGTAATTAGATGTGGATAATTATTTTATAATGTGATCTTTTAAATAATATTGACATAAAAATTATTGCAATTTATAATAGAAGATTTGAAAATAGATATACATACTGAAGTATGAATCTAGAAATTTAGTCACAATGATGGAATAACATTTTATAACAAGGGCATTTTACTTAAAATTGCTTATAATACATTACTTTGGTAGTAGGTATTTATGTATGAGAAAGTGATCTTGTTATGATAGGGCCAAATCCCTGGATTGTTATAAATAATTGCATAGTTCATGTAAAAAAGTGCTTTCCTTGCCATCTTTTTATAGGTAATTAAAAGAAAAAAAATTTTTAGCCTAAAATTATATAGCTCACATTACTATTATTGTTCAGTTAATCAATAGAAAGTTTTTAGTTTATTATAAAGTACATGCATTTATATTTCATTTTATATTTTAAAAATAATTTTACAGTTGAAAATAGTTGTTGAATAGAATTCTTATATGTCCATTGATATGAAAAATAAATAGGCACAAGGAAAGATGTTTCACATTTCTAATTATTGGGGAAATGAAAATTAAAACTACAATCAATATAACCTCGCACTTAGAATGGTTATCATCAGAAATACAAGACATAAGTGTTGGAGAGTTTGTGAAGAAAAGGGACCCCTTTTGCACTGTTGGTAAAGACTGCATGCAAATTGGTGCAGACACTGTGGAAAACAATATAGAGGTTCCCCCCAAAATTAAGAAGGGAACTATGATCCAGCAGATCCTCTTCTCAGTATTTGTCCAAAAAATGTGAAAACACTGATTCAAAAATATGCACCCCTATGTTCACTGCCACTTTAGTCACAATGGCCAAGACATGGCTGTGGATGAATGAATGAATAAAGCAGATGTGGCACATAAAACACACAGACGCACATTGGAACACTACTCAGCCATTAAAAATTAAGTATTACATTTTTTGACAACATGGATGGATCTTGAGGGTATTATACTAAGTGAAATATGTCAGACAGAAAAGGACTAAAACTGTATTCCACTAATATGTGGAATATAAAACAAAAACTGTAGCAAAGAAACAAAAATAAAATAATAAGCAGAGACAAAAGATTGGCGGTTACCAAAGGGGAAGAGAATCGGAAGAAGGCCATATAGGTAAAGGAGGTCAAATGTATGATGTAGGATGCAAATTACACTTTTGGTGGTGAGTGTGCAGGTATCTAATTACAATGCTGTACATCTAAAGTTTACATAGTGTCATTAACCAATGTTACTTCAAAATCTGTCAACAAATATTTCAAAACCTAAGAACTATGTAAATATTATTCTAAGTATTCTATTAGTCTTTATTTACTCTGAAAACAATCATGGATAGATAATTTGGTAAATCTCCTTTTGTTTTATTTTAAGATTGTGTTATTCTCTCCAGGCCTCTGCATCATTCCCTTTACATTAAAAATTTTTATAATATTT